GCTGTTTTTCATGCCTCGTAACATCGCTATAGTCAAATGCACTTGTTAGCTTAAAGGACGAATTCACGATGAAAAAGCAACCCATTTCAAATTAACCTAGGGAGTGGTACACGAAAGAAGGAAGAACCATGAGAAACGGCCCAGAACCCGAGAAATGGTACCCCTTCCTTGCCCGTTGATTCGAGCATTGATGCGACTCTCATCGCTGTGCCCTCTTCAACACTACGCTCTCTCAGCTATAATCACTCGCCACGTATTGAACTACGGCGAGTGATCAGATGATCGGTGGGCGGAGATCGCCGGACCCGCCAGCTTTGAGGCATGATAGGTCGCCGAGGTCAAATTTTTCCATGCGAATTGCGCGTCAGTTCGCACCCTCAGGAGGTCCGTGGGTCCCTCAACTAGGTCAGTTTCCCTTTCTTCGACCTTCATTCTAATCGTGAATTCCTCCTTTAACACGTTGACGACATCGCGCGTTTTGGCATTTTTGGCCGCGTGGGACCAGAGCGGTTCTGCGAGCGCCGCCGCCTCACAACAAATCTGTGGATTTTGAGCTTTAAATACGCAATACTTCGATGCGACAAAATGTTTTCACTGATATTCGGTGTGTCAAACTTATTGGAAGGTACACATGTGAAAGTGCGGTCGAATGATGTGTTACAGCATTGAAAAGGCAAGTTTCACTTACTTTTGCTTTAGTGATTTCAAAATTATTTTGGACGTGGTTGTTTCGGTAAAAACACATATCTTGCCACACGAGTAGCTTTGTACTCACTTCTAATATTCTTTTTTATCTACATGTTCGTGTTAATGAAGAGAAAATGAGGAATGAACTGAACGGATATTTTCGTCCGGTCCGAAAAACCTCTGCCAAACTAAAGAATATTTGGTCATTCTATAAGCCGCGTGGTTCTTGGTTATGTTGTGGTATGGCCTAAAAAATGAACACAAAAAACCTGGGAAGAAATGGCGCGTTCAAGAAAAAACTGAATGTAAAGGGTGTGGCAACTATAGTTGCCACAATGTCCATTGCGGCGTGCAAAACGCGGCAAACCTAGTTGCCGCGCTGTCGTCAAGGTGTTAAAGTGGAAGGTCAAACGTGGATGCAGCCATCCAATGAAGACGTGGTAGACAGGGTGGGAAATATGGGTGTGGTTCACTAGGACAGAAAGCGACTTTTTCGCGTTTCGCAGCGCGAAACATTTTCCGCTGCAGGAACCTCAGGTCCACCGCTGATCATCAGTGGACCTGGAGGTTCTGCAGCGAAAAATGTTTCGCGCTTTGCGAAACGCGAGAAGGCGCTTTCTGTCCGGTTATAAGGCTTCTGTTAACTAAAGGGTGAGAGCATAGCTGTAAAAGCGCACACTTGGTGTCTGATTGGGACTAAGCCTTTTGAAGAAAATAAAGAAAAAGGAGATGCTGTGGTAGTGTCTGCTGTGCGGTTGACAGATGTCCTGAGACCTTTCTGTACTACTGAACAACACCCACCTTCCAGGTAGGTGTGCATATTGCTGTCGGCGCTTAAAGCCTCAGGAGCTTTTCCCAAATTTTCCAACGAGCAAATATCGTGGCGCCCCTGATGGTCGCTTTTGGCAAAACTTGGAAGGATGCCTCTGTATATGGTTGTTTCAGTGGGTTTAGAGGTTGCAGTACGCGGATCAGCAAACCTATTTATTTGCCAGTAATAAGACGAGTGGCGAGTTAAACGGAGGTCCCCGCCTCGAAGACTTGGAGGCGGGGCGGCGGGGGGAAGAGGTCATCGGAACGATGACATTCCGCCGCCACAAGTAAAATGAACATCATATGGGTGACAACAGTTAGTGTACAGTACAACACAGAAAGTTAAGAATAGATCACAAGTGGCCATATCGTCGGCGCAGTCGGGCTTCATTGTGCGGAGTTGGTTGCGAGTTGTTGACCATTGGTTGCGAAGTTGGCGACGTTGACTTGAAGATGTTGACCAGTTGCTGTCCATTGATGCTGCTCGAACAGAATAGAATACCATAAGACGATGCGGCTGCGAGACGATGGGGGGGGGGTTGACGACTCAATGGCGAAGCCTCTTGAGTGGCTGGGCATGAGGTCTTCTGCGGGAGCAGAGGTAGGAATTGTGGTCGAGACCACAATTCCCACATTTCATCCCGCAGTCCACCTCATGCTCCGGCTTCAGGCACTTAACGCACAGGTGCAGCTTGGATGCCTGCGCGGTCCTGGAGACAGGGTCAGGAAACCTACTGCACCTGGCAGTGAAGTGGTTGTCTTTATTATCTTCTACTGTGCAGAATGCACAGGAAGACTTGGGTGCAGTACGCTCCAGCAGAATACTCAGCTTCGCGTCGATGGCTTCTAGCTTCGGTGTTAGGTTATGTAGAATAGTCGACGCATCACATCTGTCGAGTTCTTCGATAGCCGCTTGCATATCGGAGGCGAAAGACATTTTGAGCTGAAGAAGTCAGGCTACCGCTCCTTTTATACGGAATGTTTGCGCCTTCGGACATACTTTCTTATCATTCAATTGTGAAAATCATTATGCTTCTTTCTATAAAATTTTATGGTCTCAGTGAGGCTATTCCTGAGGGAAGGTCTTGGATCCTGGGCATAATTATTGATGAAGGTACGCCTAAGGATATACTGTGATTAATAGTGGTGTAACGCCTAAGGATGCAATGTAGGGCGGCGTTGACAGGCTCTAATGTACAAGGTCAAACATTACATAGCTATGTACATTTCGGAACAATGTCTATTATTATTTTGTTTATCATATGGCTTGATTTGATTTGTCTTCTATGGCTATTTCGTTCGTTGCGCTCGTTTTGCGTTGTTTTTTGATTAGCAGTATGATATAAAAGGGAATTTTGCAAGTAATTTCAACAATTTTTCGAAAGATGAAGTAGGCACATCTTATTATAGCTAGAATAATGACTGGGCCCATCAAATAAGTGAGCGCGGAGAGCAATATCGTTGAAATGATAGCTCCCATCACTAATTTATAGTGGTTTTTGATGGTTTTAAGCAGTGGGTCAATATTTGGCAAGGAAATATCATTGAACCATTGATGTTTCATAGAAACTCCATGCGTTTTCTTGTCGAAAATGGAGTGCTTGCTCTTCTGCTATATGATAGAACAGCGTTCCGGTTAGCAGAAACTTAGTTGGGTTTTCCGAACAGTGAGCACTGCATTGCTCATGAACAATGGGATGCTCGAAATTTAAAAAAATGACGTTGCTCTCATTCGATGGGCCACATTTCACTAAAAATTGTTGTGATTCGCATGTCACTGTTACTGTGGCATTTGATGGCGACTTGCAAAGGGCTGTGAAATGCGCTCCATGTTCGCAGTCATAGCATCCTGTTAATTCAGTGATCTTAAACCCGCATTCTTGGTTAACTACTAACTCTGTGGACTCTTGGAGTAGTGTGGACTCGATTCTTAGGACAATTTCTTCCTCATAGGTGGAGGCAAAGATATCTTGGTCGTTTACAAATATTTCTGCATACGGTGTTTCTAGGGGTAACGTGTACTGTGTGTGATCACGTAGTTTGCGAATACTGTCGTCTGGACATTGGCAGTTGTGCACAGAATTTCCGCAATTGCACCGTATCTGATTGGTGCACGTCGAAAAATCGTTTTGCGCCTGAGTGTAGCTACTGCACGCAACTGGGATTTGGAAATCGGGTGGTAAGATGTAAGATGCATTACTGCTCAATGCAAATCGTTTGTTTGCAATGTAATGCGACGGTTTCTTGAACCGATAGTACTGTGAAGTTGAAACTATCGGATTTTTCAGTTATGTATGGTGTGAGCGAATGCACAGTTTTCTGTGTGTTATTTGATAGTGTAATTTCAATTTCGAGCGTGATTGTGGGAGTCCAGTGGGGACATTGAATAATTTCAAAGACTCGCTGAGATATGGGTTTGTGAACTATTCTGTAAAACCAGCAGGCTGGTAGTGACAGACCACATCCGCACAGTATTCCGCCACAGCTGTTCAAGCACCCGGAATATCCAGGATACTTCGCTACCCGTTTGAGTTCCGAAATGGTTTCGTTTGGGCTTATAGTTTCGCACTTCTCAGTGGTGCATGATCCCGCTAGGGCGCATCTTTTCACCTGATAGATTTGCAATTTTGTAGGCCTTGTGAAAAATTCGATATTTTTGGTGCACTTGAAATTCACCGTTTTCTTAGTGATTTTTGCTACTCCTATCGTCTTATTCGAGTGCACTATTTCTATGCAGAGCTCGGATTGTAGCTTGTTAAACAGCAGCTCCCTGCTGTATTCAAGATGGCAGTGATTTAGTTCATTGCATACTTGTTCAGCGGAGTGTCGCATAACTCCGTGTTGGCACGCATTAATGGGCGACATCATAAGAAATATTGCGCACACCACCATGAGTGTTGAGCATGGTAGTGGTGCTAATTCAAAGCTGCAAGTTGGGGCAGATGGTTCACTGCGTTCCACTTTCTTGTCGAGTTTTGGGGTGCTCGATTCAGCTTTTTTTGATTTGGCTATTTCCACGCAATCCCCATAACGGGCGGCAATGATCAAATAAATCAAGATAGCCGATGTGGCTATGGCTCCGACTGGCCAACAATGTGGATTTCCCAGTAGGCTTTTTGACAAGAAATACTGATGGTCACAAAATTTTGGCCTATCACATGTTTTCGATTGTTCGTGTACTACTTCATTTTTGAGAGTTCGTAGCCGTACGTTCACTCCCTGCTCGGTGGGCAATATTGGTAGGATGTACTTGGTTGGTCGGGTTGTGTTGGTTAACGGTTGCCATATCGTGGGCCGCATGCAAACCTCAAACGCAGCGTTCATCGCGTATAAAACAGTTCCTTTTGCGCATGATATTATGGATGATTCTTGCTTGCTAGAGAAGTGGAAGCTAAGGTCAGAACTGTAAGGAACAGTAGCGCTGATTTCGCCGGAAATGGCGTTTTAGAGATTTGTACACTGCATTCCATGCTCCTGAAGAAATCATAAGGCTCCGCGTTTTTGAGTTGCGAGGTGGCATCCTTCTTGTAGCGTCTATCTCTTCACAATTCTCGTCTGGAACAGTGTCTTCGGAGTTGTTATTTCCTTCGATTTCGTTAGTGATAGATTCTTTCACTCCACTCCTTATTTCTAAGGGGTAGATTTTGTTTAGAGGTCTATGAATGATGTTTTGATTTGGCATCAGTATCTTTGCTGATCTAATCAGACCGTCGGACGAGGTGATGATTTCTGTGATTTTGCCGTAAGGCCAACTTCCTCTTGGGATTAGGTCCTGTTCTATCAATACTACCTCACCGATTTCAGGGTAAGTTCGCTGTAGATGTCTCGGCTGTAAGATGTTGTTTTTGCATTTCCCGCAGAGATACTAGGTACTCTGATTTCCAACACTCCCCCAGAATTTGTTTGCTATATTCTCAGAGAATCGAATGGCTTCCATGGCTTGTTCCCTGGTCTGGATAAATTCTGGGTCATACGTAGGATCGTCATTGCCTGTATAGTTTTCTCCTTCCGGGAGGGAAAATTTAAGGTTCCCTTGTAGGAAATCTATGGGACGAAGAGGAATTTCTGTGATATCGTCCGAATTCAATTTTGTAAGTGGCCTTGTATTAAGAATGGCCTCGATTCTTGTAAGAACTGTAGACATTTCTACAAATGTTAACCTTTTACGTCCTATGG